TTTCCTTGCTTCTCTGTTGCTAGACTTACACATCTGATTCTTTCTAATAATAAAAGAAACAGCGAAAAAATGACTATAATTTATAAAGAAAATCAAAATAAATATTTAGAATGTGACTGAAAACATTGAGAAAACATAGTTTCTGCCTTTTATATCACCAATAAAGAAACCAGATTTTTTATTTACACACACACACACACACACACACACACGATATTTTGTTAATTTTGGCACCTAAAATCCTTAGTTTATCTGCAAGTATATACAGAAATATAACAATTAATGGAAAGCATAGCATAAACCTTTGCTGATGATGAAATCATTTCCTCTAGACACTATATTTTTATGAAGAATAACAAAAAAAATGGTGTGCCTGCTAAACTCCTGTTTTACTTCTCGGTAGGATCATAGCTTGGGAACTGAATGGAAGTAGTTTGTTATTGTCCATTTATTTTGCCTACTTCTGACCTTTGTGGTTTTCTCCTGTTTGAGTACTGATTGATTTCAAACTTGCTTACATTTACAGTATCAGCCAGGGTTATCAAATGCTGCATAAAACTAAAAATAATAAGTATAGAATTACATAGGTTGATACATGTAGCATTTTGGGCCTCATGGAGCCATCTAATATTTAGGAATTTCATGCTATTGTTCCTTTTGAAGATAATTTGACTTATGCAGATGTTCTTATAAAGAAGACAGCCTCTGCTCTCAACGTTTAGTGTTACAAAAAAAAGTAATAACTATGGAAGACAAAAAAGCAAAGGAAAATAGTGACTGTCATTGTTCAATCAACTTTTTATATAGCCCCAACTCACTATATTTGGGGATTTCTCTTAAGACTCATTAACGTTCACTAATATGTTTTAATTTTAACATGCATTTCTTCTTAGATTGCTTCCCAGGAGGAGTGCATTGGGTTTCTGTTGGAAAACAGGATAAAGCAGGTTTGTTAATGAAACTCCAAAATCTTTGCCTGAAATTAGACCAGGACTTCATTTATTCACAAAGGCCACCATTTAATATTGAGGAAGCAAAAGATCGCCTTCGTTCGTTGCTGTTGCGCACGAGGCCAAGGTAATGTCAATAGAACAGAGTTGCATTTGCTATCTTTAATTTTAAATAAATGTGATTAATATTGTTTGTTTCAGATTCCTACATTTATAGAGATTTCCAATAAATATTCTCTGTTGCTTAAAATTCTAGCAATCACAGTTTATAACAAAATATTAGTGAATTGGTTCCATATAAAGGTAATAGTTGTCATTCTGGTGTTTTATTTATTTACAGACATTCTTTCATTGAACAACTCTGGAGTCTAACTCTTGATTATCAGGGATTCTGAATTAAAATCCATAGCGCGTTATTTTCTGCATAAGTAAATTTCAAAAATGGCAAACATGGCTTCTTAGTATCTATTTTATTAGTATCTATCAATTTAAATTATAATTGCTTATTTTCTGAAGTAATTTGACTATCTTTTTCAGACTTCCATGGTATATAGTGTAATAAACTGGTTAAATTGGTGAATTAGAAACCAGCAGGCTATGAGTTCTAGTCCTCTATTTGGTACAAACACCCACTGGCCCAGTTTTTCTCTCTCAGCCCAAGTAATATGAGAATATTATTGTTTGTAGGAATAATAGGATATGAATTTAAAAATAAATAAATCATGATTCAATTGAAAGATCAATCAGAATAATTTGAATTGTCTGCTGTGATTTATGCAAAAAAAAATGGTACTAAAAATATCATTCTTTCTTTGCTGATGTGTTTTGTTGGAAGATTTACAATTTTGAAAAAATGATTTAAAATTTCCAGAAAGAGAATATCATAAGAATACTGGGAAATATAATTGTGAATGTGCAAAAATATATGCTTTTTAAATATTCAGACTATATTTAATTTTTATTTTGTCTTGTTCTCTCCCCCCCCCTCCCTCATTGAACCCAAATGCCAAATTTATCTTTTAAAAATTCATTGATCTGTAAGGCTCTTTTTATTAAAAAAGAAACAAAAGTTTAAAATAGATAAATTCAAATACTATGAAGGATGCAATTAAAATATTACACAGTGCTTTAGACTTGATTTCAAAAAGGAGGGGCTCAAAATATGTAGGAATTTATATATACCACCTATTTGTACATCGTAAAATATTGCTATTATTTTCTGGACATAACTTTGGGCTCCTGTTTAGATAGGCTACTTTAAAAAAGGAAATCTATTGTTACATATGAAGAACCTTCTTAAAGTAGATGTGCTGTTTATCATCCTTTTTTTGTAACAGATCTCTCTTGGTGCTTGATGATATTTGGGATTCCTGGGTTTTAAAAGCTTTTGATAATCAGTGTCAGATTCTTATCACCAGTAGAGACAGGAGTATAGCAGATTCTGTAACTGGTAAGGGTTGTGTTTTCCTTTATTCCTCCCCTGCATAAGCTATAAATTTTTATTTAATTTACTTTATGTATGTTACTTTCCATAGTGGTATGAATTCTGTCGCTTTTATTCCATTAAACCTTATTAAGAGCATGCAGTGATACATCCATTATATTAAACCAAAAAATGTCACTGTGAGAAAATTGTACAATATATTATTAGTAGTAACAGAGAGATAGGAAAAGGAAAGATTATCTTGTTGCCATTATGCTTAAATTATAGAAAATAATCTGAATAATGTAACCTACATACTTGAGATTTGTGGGGAAAATTAGTCAAAAACTGCCTTTAAATATTCAAAACAAAATATATTCTGTAAGAAGTAAAATATAAATGGAAATTGGAAATCTAAAGAATTCTGGAAATTTAGAATAACATGTTCACCTTCAGTATAAAACAATCCCAAGCTCTTTCAGGGATGATATAAACACTATACCATACAATCTTATAAATACACAGTGCGACTGAATAATGAATATTACCTTCTGTTAATTCTCTATAAATTGATAAAATGAAATAGTTATATAAGAAAATGAATCTAGCCTTAAATGTAGCATTTTCCTTAAACATCAAAAACTAATTAAAATAATCGCAGTGTTAAATTCTTGTTCCAATATGATGATTGGCAGATGATTTTTTTTTAACGCCAATTAGTGGTGNGGGGATGCTGCAATGGTCATAAATGTGAAAAATGTTCATATGTCACTTTTTTCAATGGCATTGTAACTTTGAATGGTCACTAAACAAATGGTTGTAAATCAAGGATTACCTGTAGTATATCATTGTCCCTAGTGCACATAATTGGATTTAATTTTCTTATTTCTCATTCTTTACTCTGTATTACTGCAATTGGAGAGCTTGCATATGGCATCAGTACCATTTTATAATTTAAAAATATATTTCAGGACAATTAAAATAAACAATTCTAGGGTTCATTTATTGTTAAGCAGTCACAGGTTTTCACTGGTGGCTAAGTATCAGTATTGAAGTCCAAAGGTTCAAGAATTTATTGCAAGTTGCAATTCTAATTAATGTTAGTAATTCAATGGTGTGTATTACATTTTTAAAGTAACATATAAGTGATAATTATACATTATAACTGAAATTTTCTGTTGCCTTGCTTAGCTTGTAGGACTACTCAGCTAAAAGGAACAATAAACATGGACCAGAGAGCTAGAAGTTATTTGCTTCAGAACCGCCAAGCTTTGGAAAGAGATATCAAGACATCTTATATAATGGATCATATGATTGCTGATGAGACCTTGACAGTGATGGAAGAGGAGAAAGTAAAAGCTCAGGTTATTAAAGGTTTTTTGTCCTTTTATTTATGTTAGAGTAGAAGTTATATTAATATATAGTTTTAGAACAGAGGGGCATGATGGGAGACTTGAGGCCCCATGTGGCTGCACCTAGATTTTTGATATGGATCCCAGGGTTGTACGTAACTCTAGGACAAATATTTCTGTATACAAGAGAGTCAGATGATACAAGAGCAAAAAAGTACTAGTAATTATTACTCTGTCAATGTAACGACAAATAGCAAAAAGGGGGTTAGATATAATAAATATGGCAGAAGAAGAAAGAGCAAATAATTACAATTACATTTTCTAAAGTTGTTCTAGCTTACTTTTGTGCTAACATAACAGTTTGTTGAAGCTGAATGTCAGAGTGCTTTTGGATATTTTTTGACAGAAAAAAAATCAATATTAAAATTTATGGAAGTTTAATAACAACATTAGATGGGATACATATAAAATTAGTTGCACATTTCAGTAGGAATTAAGTAGGCATTTATATTTTTACTTTTCAATAGGAAAAATAATCTTTTTGGAGTATGTCTTCTCAAGAGATGTAACTAGTGCATAATTCTAATTAAATAAAAAATTATTGAGTTCACTATTATTTATTTATTTACTGATCTGGTATGCTGCTCTAATCTTAAATCCTCAGTAACTAGGATTCATACCTGATGTAGTAATTGCATTAAAAACAAATATATATATATAAACTTATCAAACTGCCCCAGTAATCACTAATACTTGTCTCTAATACTTGTCTGTCTGTCTGTCTGTCTGTCTGTCTGTCTCTATTATAATACTTGTACTTGTGTGTGTGTGTATGTGTGTGTATGTATCTCTATCTTAATTATTAATTATTATACTGATTATTGTAATTATTATATTGAGAAAAATATCAATATTCCTATGCAGATCTGTGAACATTCACAGATCAGTGAATCAGTGAATCTGTGAATCTTAGAATAGAGATGTGTACCGTTTGATTGCAAAAGTGTTTAACTTGGCCAAGAATGTTTTCTAAATAGTGTAGTTTTTGTCATCTTTTCTTGATTAAGTCTGATGCATCAATCCAGAAAAA